TCTTAATTTTTAACTAAGAAAAAAATTAAAAACATCTTTTATATTTCTTGCTGCAGAAGAAAAGTTAAATAATTTTTTTATTTATAATGAATTAGTTATAAAATTGATTTAGTTAAGTATGTTTTTAAATTGGCAGAAAATAAATACTGAAAGTTATGACTAATTAAGTTTTCAGTGACATCTGATGTAATTAAATAGTTAATTTAGGGATAAGTTGATATTTGTAATTCAGCTGTAATAATATAGATATAACAGCTACAAAGATATCCTAAATACCATGGTTTATAATATCTTAAATGTATATATTTTGTTAATCGCTGGTCTCAGTAGAGAGGTAGGTAACTTGTAGTGTCAATAGTGAATTATTATTATACCGACAATAACGTCACGACCTTGTTATTGTAAAGATAACATATATTTGGACGAAATCGATCATCTATTTGATCAAATAATTAGAAAAAAACTCATGTGATCTATACAAACAGGAAGGTTGACAACGGGATTGGAAGAACTTACAGCACACTGTCAGCTTCACGGACCCCTTGACATTGATTTTTATTTTATGTTATCTATATTTACATAAATTAGTTTCATTAAAAAACTGCTTTTTTAAAGTTATTTTGTTGCCGGTCCTTGATTTCTATCTTATATCCTATGTACATATATTATGCATGGATATGGTTGTCTCACTGATCCGTGTATATGCAGGGCATGGTCCATACACAACTAATTATCAATTTGGTCTTCCAATTTATATACATACGTATATACTTAGTTCTTTTACTTTGTAAGAAACCATCGACTGTTTCAAAAAAAAAAAGAAAAAACCATTGACTTGTCTGGGGTATTTCAGATGGTTATCAAATACTAAGACCAACATTATCGGCAGCTCTTAGAGCATTTCTTAGGTGTTGGGGTCCCACATTTTTGTAAAACTGAGGTCAAATATCCCTTAATTAACAAACGTTTGTGGAGAGTCCTTAACAATTCATGAATGTTTTTCGAACAAAAGAAATAAAAATAAATAAAACTTTGTGCCTAAGGACTTGTGAACGTCCTAGCGATAAGGTTGCTCTAAGAGTTCCATAATTTCTTCTTTTGTGGTGGTTTGAGTTGTCAATATTAATTAATACGATTGCTATGTCTATTATTTACATGAAAATATAACGAGTGTATTTAAATATGCTTTTAATATGCGCACCCACTCCACAAAAATGGAATAATATTGCAAGTAATTCATCATCATTTTCTATACACATTTGCTATCTCTTTATAAATAATAACTAGAGTTGTAATCAAACTGTTTTTAAAAAGTTATTTTGTTGCCGGTCTTCGATTTCTATCTTATATCCTATGTACATATATTATGCATGGATATTGTTGTCTCACTGATCCGTGTATATGCAGGGCATGGTCCATACACAACTAATTATCAATTTGGTCTTCCAATTTATATACATACGTATATACTTAGTTCTTTTTCTTTGTAAGAACCATCGACTATTTCAAAAAAAAAAAAAAACCATTGACTTGTCTGGGGTATTTCAGATGGTTATCAAATACTCCCTCCATTTCGAATTAGATATCTTTTTAGAGGAAAAAATTCGTTTCAAAATAAGTGTCGTTTTAGAGTTTCAAGACAGAATTTATTAGGTTTATATGATATTTTATTTTTCTATTGGTTGAAAAGTTGTTAGGTGTATTGGTAATTGTGTTTTTATATTGAAAATGTGTAAAATTAAATGTTTCATGCATTAATCTGTATGTAAAAATCTAGAATGATTAATAAATCAAAACGGAGGGAGTACTAAGAGCTCCATAAATTCTTCTTTTTTGGTGGTTTGAGTTGTCAATATTAATTAATACGATTGCTGTCTATTATTTAGCCAATATATATATGTGCTTTATTAGTATTCAATTATATGTCCCGAACTCCTTTAAGACATGAAAATATAATGAGTTTTTTAAATGTGCTTTAAATATGCGCACCCACTCCACAAAAATGGAAGAATATAGCAAGTAATTCATCATCATTTTCTATGCATTTGCTGTCTATTTATAAATAATAACTACTCCTTCTGTTCCTAAAAGATCTATATTCTAGTTTTTCACACTTTTTAATAAAACATAATAAATTTGTATAGTTTTTTGTGTTTATCTTCTTTCCATAATTTTAAACCAATCAAAAATCAATTAGTGCAATTAATTTTTTTGAAGTTTACAATTATTTAATAAAACATGCATTGAAAATGTAAAAAATTGATCTTTTAGAAACAATTTTTTTTCTAGAATATGTATCTTTAAGGAACGGAGGGAGTAGAATTGATCGATATATCCACGCGAATGTTTATTTATTTATTTATTTTATTTAACGTAATATATTTACATATTAATCTATATTATATAAACGATTCTTCTTACATGAATTTTATTTTAGTAATTACTAATAAATAAGAAAATATAATTGGACTATTATTTATATGAAAATATATGTAATATAATATATTTACATATTAATCTATATTATATAAATGATTCTTCTTACATGAATTTTATTTTAGTAATTACTAATATATAAGAAATTATAATTACATAGATTTTAAAATAATATTACTCATTACTATTTAAAACTATGTTTATTAATATAAGCTAGGTTTATTAATTATTGTTGTCATGAACTTTTAGTTAAATTTTAATTTTGGAGATGTATTAATTAAACATAAAAATATAAAAAATCCTTAAAAAGTAGATTAATTAATAAATTAAATGATATACCATTATAAATAAATTACAAAACTAAATACTATTTTATTTTTATAGTTCTCTTTTAATAATATAAATACAAAAATTATACAGTATTACATTTCAACAGATATAACAAAAAGGAGAAATAGTTGCGTTAGTGAAGAATACTAACCACAAATCCTAATGACCACATAACGAGTGAAAAGCACTTAGATTTGTATTTAATTAAGTGAAAACGAGTACTTGTAATTATTTTATTTCTTTACTTGTAAATTAATTATAAATCTGTTGATAATTTATTTGATAATCCGTTGAAATTTAAAACTAAATAACTGTATAATATACACAGAATAATTTACTCTTCTTTTTAGGTTTTAGTTACTTTGAAAAATATAATATATGCAGAAAAAAATTCCAAAATATCTATATAAATGTATCACTTATATTTGATTCACTTATGAAAATGGAAATAGAACTGAATTATTTTATTATGATCTAGAAAAAAATTGTATTTGTTCATTAACAAAAATGAGTTTCAAGTAAAATAACATCAAGTATATTTTTATTTTAATATTTGATACTTATCTTATATTTGTAAGTAATTTAATCTTAAAATTATACCAAATTTAATTTTTTATGGTTTATTAAATAGTTATTTAATAAAGGTGATTATTTTGTAATATAAAATATAGATAAGTATTAAAAATTTATACCATTGTTTATATAAAATAATTATTAACCTAAAAAAAAGTAAAAAGATCCACGAGATCAAATTCTAGTTTGTCTTTATACATTAAGTACAAGGCAAGAAACGATCAATTGTTTCCACTCCTAGTTCGAGACGTGCTGTCCAAAGTATTTCGAAACGAGAGGCTTACAGATTCTTTTGCCACCGGACGATTCCAGTGGTTTCCACTCCCATAACCACCGGACGGTTCCACAAAGCTGCCCACAAAAATCTGTTCACGTAACTCATTCTATTTAACTATATATCGGTGGATTTTGTTTTTCTTTTATATTAGCTAGAATCTCATCAAAAGGGGGTATGCATGCATACGTGCAAACGCAGAGGCTGATCTCCGGCTGTCAGCATGACATAGGCTTACCTCATCATCACCGCTTTAGCCGTGACTGACCTGAACGGACCCCCTTCGCATTTAAAAACCTTCACGCCTTCACGGACTCTCTCAAGCTCAAACCAAGACAGATGACAATAGTGCCCTTGAAAAGTATATAAATATATAACACCACAAAAAGATGTTTAATTCTAATCACTACACTAAAACATTAAATTTGGTGTAAAATTATCTCTAACAAAACATTAAAATTGAAATCATCCCGCCAAAATTGATATTATGTGAATAATATTATAACAAATATAGTGTAATACTATTCATCACACCAAATCTTTAAAATACATATTTTTATTATATTTTATTTAATAATATAATTCAACTACTGCTAAATTTATAATTAAGTATAAAATATTATGTTATTTATATTTTTAATCTATTTTCTTATAACTTAGAAACTATTTTTTATTTTTGTTTTCAAAATAAATCACTAAATAACTATTATCATTTAGCACTTAAATATAAATATAAATAATAATCTTAGTGTAATAGAATTGTTTTTTATCAGTTACAAATAATAATAAAAATAAACATTTTAAAATTGAAAACAGTAGTTTTGGTGTAAATTTGAATATCATTGTCGGAGATGTCAAAAAATTGCGACATAAAAAACTAAATTTGGTATAATTTTAGCATTAAATATTGTTGGATGCTCTAATTACAAGAGAAAAGAGAATAGGTAAAAGTTTGTAGTAAAAGAAAAAGAAAATTATCACGGCCACGTTATTTTGCTTGAGTGTATCAGTAGTGTATGATTACGCTATAATTCCTTAGAACAAATTAAAAAAAGGAGTTGTTGTTTTTAATAAAGTAGTCCTTTTCAATATGCATATACAATTATTTTTTAGTAAAAAGAAAATAGTTATGTTTGAAGAGTTTACACTTTACAGATGAAAGATACAAACAAAGGATGAGGTAGATACCGACTAGAAATAATAATAATTGAGAGATAAAATATTATCAGAATATTAGAAAATTGAAAAAAGATAGATTTATGAAAATGGAGTCAAAAGGAGAACGGACATTGAGTATGGTTTACGCTAAAAATAATAATAAAGAAAAGAAGCTGTTTGTATAGTCTTCTACCTTATAAAAACATACCATCCTTGTTTCCCTCTCCCTACACCGCACTCTCTCTTCTTTCTCGTTCTTGATTTTTTTTTTTTATTATCTCCTCTGTTTTGGATCCATGGATAATGTTAAGCTCGTGAAGAATAATGGTGTTATGAGATTACCACCTGGATTCAGGTTTCATCCCACAGATGAAGAGCTTGTGGTTCAGTATCTCACGAGAAAAGTTCTTTCTTCTCCATTACCAGCTTCCATCATTCCTGACTTTGATGTTTGCAGAGCTGATCCTTGGGACTTACCTGGTTGGTTTTCTCCCATTCAAATTTTTCTTTTCTTGGTCTCGAACCGGTGACCTTGAACCTTACCAAACTTTCTTTCTTTATGTGAAGGCAATTTGGAGAAAGAGAGGTACTTCTTTAGCACAAAGGAAGCCAAGTACCCTAATGGGAACCGGTCTAATCGAGCAACCGGTTCCGGTTACTGGAAAGCTACCGGTATTGATAAACAAGTTGTAACCTCTAGAGGAAATCAAATCGTTGGTTTGAAGAAAACACTTGTGTTCTACAAAGGCAAACCACCTCATGGCTCAAGAACCGATTGGATCATGCATGAATATCGTCTCTCTTCCTCTCCTCCGGTACAAATTTCTCTCAGTATCCCGGTTTAATACCCGGTTTTCTCCAACTTCACTAAATTTATTTTTCATTTTCTCAGCAGAGTTTTATGGGCCCTACTCATCAGAACTGGGTTCTTTGTCGTATCTTCCTTAAGAAGAGAGCCGGTAACAAGAGCGACGAGGAGGAGGGAGATAACCGGAATGTTAGATATGATTATGACCAAACTGAAATAATTACAACAAACCAAACCGAAGATAAGACCAAACCAATCTTCTTTGATTTCATGAGAAAAGAAAGGACTACGGACTTGAACCTTTTGCCGGGCTCTCCAACTTCCGACCACGCTTCAAGTGGACTCACGACGGAGACCTTCTCTTCCGATGAAGAGACCAGTAGTTGCAATAGTTTCAGAAGAAATCTTTAATTTAATTTTAAATGTTTTTGACTATCTTAATAATTTTATATCAATACGACTCTACTTCCTTTTTCCTATTTTTTTACTCGAAAACGAATCTTTGTCCTTTCTCTTTCGTGAACTAGTTGAGTTTTGTTTAAATGATTAACCACCCTATTCAAGAAAAAATGTAATAAGTTTATTATTCCCTACCAAAACTTCAATTCTTCTCCCAACCGTCCATTTATTGGAATAAATATATGTTTACAAGTCATTGGACAATTTTAGGTTATGCACTTTACTTATATACTATTACGAACGGAAAATGTATATTTGGAAAATAAACAGAAGAACAAGTTTTTTTGTGTGTGTTTTTACATGACATGACAATCCCATGCCAAATATATGAAGTATTCAAAATAATAATTGTAGTAGCCTATTTATGATTAACAAAAAAGGTATTTATATTACCATTATGAAAGTAGAAATTATTGCTGTTGTGATGATTCCTCTCTGCACGTGACCGTGAATTTGTTAATATATTTGTGTGTGTATTTTGGTGTATTTTATTTTATTGTTAGACGGCATTTAGATGTATTTATGTAATTGGGTGTATATATGATTACATTATGCATGGAGGATTACAGCTAAATAAGGTAATAATGGCACGAAGAGGTTGTCAAAGAGAGCTAATTTGTCTAAAGTGCAGAAAAGGTAATAAGACTGTGATGAGTAGTTATCTCTTTTAATCTCTAAAAGGTCATAATTATTCGGTGAAAACTGCACAATTATAAATTTTCTCTTTTCAAACTGAGATCCTATGCAAAAATAATAATAATACTATTCGTTGTTTACAATGATGTGATCTGATTTCAAACAAGGTCCCCCACTTATCAAAATGATTTACTTTAGGTTGAATCTTTCCCTAACTTGTAAGTAGTAAATTAGTTTTTTGGGGATTCCTTTGTTTTTAATTAAGTTCTAGTTCTACGTTTTTTTTTGTCAACGCTAGTTCTACGTATTTTACTAAAAACCAATTACACGTTGGTGATATAAGTTGTTGGAAGAACCCTAGCAAACAAAAAAAAACTTGATGGAAGTTATAACATACTCCTATATTATGAGAAAAAAACATAACTAAGAGCTTCAGAGAATCACCAATAAGAACCAAATTCGTGAGGATCAAATCTCTTTATTTATACATAGATTCCATTCCAATCTTCAAACCTACTCCAGTTGAAAAAAATAAACATCCTATATTAGTGTATACCGAGTTCTAATCAACAGCATATGTTACTGTTGTCTCTATCGAATTACTATGCCTCACGTAACTAAATTGAAAAGTTCGGTAATGGTCTGATGAGTGTTCGACCTAGTGAGACACAAAACCTACCAAGGAAGAATTACGCAATTAAATATTTGAATTAATGAAACAACTCTATTGATGTAACTATGTAAGATATATCATTAGGATATCTCCATACTACTTTATTTTCACTCTAGAATAGAGTTTACAGTAAAAAATGCAATACTATTTCTTACTTTATGATATAATAAAAATAGATTTACTTTACATATAGAATAATCCATTTATTTTTTGTTCTCATTCTAAAATATATAGTATAATAAGAATATAACACAACTCTGTTATAGATTTATTCTATTTTGAAATGAAAAATAAAGTGAATCATTAGAGATGGTCTTCACACCTAGTTTCATTTTCTTTATTGACAAAAGTCTCCACAAAAAATGATATTACAAGTTGATATACATAACAAAGCATTCTGTTTGTAGACTTCATACAAAAATATATTGATTTTTAAGAAAAGAAAAATATATTGAAAACGTCAGTATATATGTGCGTTTTAACTCGTGTTAAATAATTAAGTTAGAGAAGTATATACTAAGATTTTGTTATCCCGATAGCTTTCATATATTTGCTAGTTTATATTAGTCCGAACATATTCGATATTAGTGGTGCTTGACATATGGTTGCGATTTCTTGTACTTGCAAGAAATCCGAATCATCTAAGTGATTATCTATTCATGAGTCAAATTAATTAACAACCCTATTTTGCAATCTTTTAATAATATTCTACGGATTGTTTTCATGTTCCGTAAGCAACAAGTAAATGTAAAGAATATATCTCCGGACCCTAAGAAAAAACGTTCGTTTGGATTTGTCGTACGGCATTATTGACAATAGATAGTGGATGGTGGATTTCTTGAAAAAAAAATTGTTCCCCGCAAGTTACTTCTTTGACTCCCATTATGCGCAGGGATATTAGATTAGATTTGGCCCGCCTATGTGTGGCGTATATATACTCAAATGATCTGAAACACATCTATCTAACTTACTATATATATAAAATAAAGGGTATTTATTTACACCTAAACATTTCTTAAGGGATAATTGACGATGAATAATTATGAAATTTTGTTTGATTTCTATTTTTGGTTATATTGGAACACCATAGAGGATAAAACGTTGTTCAAGGAAAACATACATAATATAATACTTTTTTATAGCTAACGTTGTATTATTTTGGATTGAGTGGTCATGAAAAGAGTAGTGATTTTCTTTGGGAAAAAAGGAGAAAAAAATACTAGTATGTGAACAAGCCAAGTATGAAGCATTTGTGTCCAGTCCTAGTACACAATACATATTTATGTTTAATTCATCTTTAATAATCTCTCCAATGATACATCATTTTGTGAGAAAAAATAAATTTATAAATAGGGTTTCCTCAAATTTGAAGGAATAATATTTGATAAATTTATTTAATGTTAAAATTTTTATTTATAAATTAATTTTAAACTTTATACAATTCTGTTTTATATCTAATAAAAATTTAAAATTTATGTTTTGGTTTGCTCTATAACCATTCACTATAATTAGGTTTCGACGTTTCGTAGTTATTCAACCTAAATTCTCATTAAAAATAGCCTCAACATATTATTAATTTTGATATTTGATAGTATATAATAATCGATATATGCGATATTTAAGTGGTACGATAAGAGTGACATACAAATACAATAGTAATGCGATCTGACTTTCATATCTACTTCCCCTAGTTCGCAGTCACAGTGACGATTATGGTAGTGACATGTATAATATAGACTTATATATATATATAGCCATGTGTATTATTGTATTAATATATATTTATCCATATTATTCATATATTAATAAATCTATAGCAGAATCCGAATTCCATTTTAGTTCTTCGTGTCACAAGTTTTCCCATTTGAAACACAATTCAATTCCGTTCTCTCATCTCTGGTTGCATCTAGTAACAAGAAGCAAAGTGCATATCAAAGTTACTTACCTTTCTATGCAGTTTATAATAATTATCATGGATTAAAACCAACAGCCAGTGTATACATCAAAAAATATTAAAGAAAAATAAGAGAAAATAAAGAAGCGAAGGTGGAAAGAGTCGTATAAGGCTGACTTGTGTTTTGTGAAATTCAACTTTGTATAAATTCCAAGTGGGCTGCGACTTGGGGAGACGTGGGAGACCCACACACTTTCACCCATTACTCACACGCCTTTTCTTTTACTCATATTGCATTCTTATGTGTCATTTCCACCAACCACTTTCATTACTATGTATATTCGCCTTAGATTTACTTTACTTTTGTTTTCTTGTTAGATTGTAAAATGGAAAACATCTTTATCCTCGGAGTTGTAAAACTAAAACTAATGTCCATAATTACAAATCAAAGCTGCACGCAAACATAAACTACAAATGCAAATGTGGAAAGTAAAGGGTATGCGTTGCGAATGTGTGAAATTAAAGGATATGCTAATGCAAACATTTTCACAAGAAACACTACGAAGGTGGAGAAAGTGCATCATCATTCATCAAAAACAGCTATATAAATCTCTCGAATCCAATCATTTCCCTTTTTTTTCTCTCAACCACCACACGATGATTAAACTACATAAACAAGAACCTAGTTGGGTAAGCAAACTCATATAAACCCAAGAGAATCTTTTATAATTTATTTCATCATTTTTTTTCTTCTTTATTTGGGTTTGAGAGCCAGGATATCTTTATGACTCTTGCATGTTCCCATAAGACCTATTAGAAAGCATTTAAAGAATAGAATGAGGTCAGTCCCCAAAGACATATTGCCTAGACACTAAGCAAAACTAGAGATGTGACTCTTCCCATATTCATTTCTTGATGGTAATACAAACCTAACCCTTATAATTAATTACTTAAGGTTTATACCATCATCAACCACATCTCTATGTCTGTTTTATCACCCTTCAGATACAATATTTTAAGAAAAAGAAACTCCGAAGTTGATAATTCAACCGGTTTAAACTACTATGGGAGGGTAGATCAGGTCCTGGCTTGGAGTAAAGAATAGGCAACTAAATGATCCAAATGATCCGGAAGTTTTCGGCTACATTAAAATATAGGTAGAGTACCCAAAAATATGTGTTTGATATTTTGTGTAGAGGTTGCGTGTGAAGTAGCAAAACCCCTTGTAAGGGAGTGACTTGAGGATCAGCTTCAGCTTTCTGAGACATAATGACAAATAACAAATGGGTTTTGATATAGGAGCAGTTTTACTTACATCACATGTTTAGCTTTCCTCTCGTGGTCCTCTTTTTTTCTCCAATCTCTAAGCAAATCCTACACATGTCTTGAAAAACTTGTAATCCATGGACCCCATTAAGGATTCAGTTGTATCTTCCTTAATTGACCCGTTCAGGAGGCATGATTATACATTTATAGCGAAGAACTAATCCCTAAGGCATTAAATTTCTTGCTATAGATAGACATCTAAATGGTCCCAAAGAACCTAACAAATTAAACCACTTCACACGCTGAAGAGGCAACTCTTACTGGTTCCAGAATTCCAACAAAGCAGAAGAGTTACAAAGCTTTGAACACCAAAAACCAGTAGACAAGGCATATGCTTGGTGACAACTACAGTTGCACACCTGTACATCACTAAAAAAGTTATCTGCCTTTTCATCTTTGCACGCAACTCCCTTATATATCAGTCTATCAAAACCCATTAGAAAAAGAATGAAAACAAATTCAAGCTGCTAATGATTATTTACATGACTTCATATATCCCTAATCAAAGACTCATTAGAGAAGTTTACTACTTTTGTATAACCCAAATAGAATAAAAGTGCAAATTAATAAGCGAAGTTTCACTACTTTTGTATAATATCCCAAACTCACAAGAGAAGCTCACTACTTTTATGCCAATAGGGGGGAAACACAACAAAAGCCAGTAATATATTTTTTGTAGTTAATAAGTAATCTTTAAGCGCATCAGATACTATTTTTATTGTTTTATCTATAGATGGATCGATAATTTTTTGTTTTGATGATATAAAATGTTATTATCTAGTATAACTTTTTAAAATTAATGCAGATTTTAATTTATTGTTATCACCAATATCTAAGTAAATGTATTGTATGTAATTATGTAATTTTATTTTAGAAAAATAATATCAACTAACTACGCCTGGTGCTGGGAAGCGGATCAAATTGGCCCACCCAACCCCATGGCCCGCAAAGAAAATATATTTTATCCGTTTCCGTTCCACTTTACGGGGTAATCCATGAGACTCGCAGATAATTATTAAATAATAAAAAAAAAATTCTAAAAAAGATAATATTAAATAGTATATTTTTAATTAAATTTTTAATACTTTTTAAAAAATAATTATTTTTTAAGGAAATTTAGTATATTTTTTAAAACAATAAACTTAAAAAGAAAATTTGGTTATTTCGGATTACCGGGTACCCGCAACTGAAATTAGAACAATCCACACCCATCCTGCATAAAATACACTTGACCCGCACCTACACCCGCAACTTATTTTTTCAAATCAATCGATCCGTTGTGTGGTGGGTCAAACAGGGTGGAACTCGCGACTAATATCAAAATTCCGAGTTCTAACTACACCAATTATGGCTCATGAGTTTATTTTTGAAAAAAAAAACTTCATAAATAGTTAGAAGGTGAATTTGACTCATTAATGAAATCCATTAGTATATAGTTTTTAGGCCAAAAAGATTAAATTATCATTAATGAAAAATTAATTTTGTTCATAAAAATAATGGTATAATTGAAAAACATAAAAAAAATATTAAACATAATGTATTAATGATAAGGAGAAGTTGCTACTATCTACATGACCTAGTTGACAGGGAAGTATACCAAAATACTTACCGTCTAGGCCTCTAGGGGTTTAAGAAACACAATCAATAATACAGTCTTTTTTTTTTGAACAATTAATATTTGACATAAGAGAAGTTGCTATTATCTACAAGTTCGTTTGGTCTATGACTATTGACAAGGAATGATTTTTGTTGAGTCTGGGTCCATCTGTTAGATAAAGATCTAATAAATCTCATAATTAATTATGTTTAAATATAAAATAAAAAAATACCCCATAAACGGTACTTGGCGATTTATTTATGTAGATTTGGGCTCATGTTAAGCAAATTCTTGGATTCTTACAAATGGTTTTGTGCCCTAAGCATGAGCAGATTCTATATTTCCTTACGGCCTTTGTACAGACATTAGAAACCAAGATTGAGGTTCCCATCAAACTAAGTACCATGTGAGAGAGAGAGCTAAGGAGAAGAGATTGAAATGGAATGTGCCCCTAGAGATCCCGTTTCACAAAGAGTCTGCAATTTTGGTAGGAGAGGCTTAAGGTTCGTTATCTCATAGTTGTACTGTAAATTGTATACCCAAAACCAGAGTACACCTCGTTGGACTGCATTAACCTCATGAGATACTTATATCCCAAATTTTTAATCCATTTCCCTTACAGACATTTTATAATGAGATCCTGAACTACATAACTCGATAGTTTTGTTCATATACAAAGCTTACATTCATTAAGCAATAATCAAGAAGCCGAAATAACAAGTACTACGAGAATCTCCTACTCAAAACGAGGCTTGAAATTTGAATCTGGTCCGTCTAGAAGATACTTACGCTTAATGGGCCTTCTTACTAAGAATTAAAAACCCAAAATGGGCCTAAGAGGCCTATTAATTGAACTTTTCTTACGTTGGGTGGCCATACTTCGAACAGAATGTCTCCGACGTTTAAGACCGCGTCCATGTCATTGACACGCCAACCTTTCTAGTATGTTTCTAAAAAACCTTGTATCTGATATTCTTTTTCTTTTTGTCTTGTATCTGATTTTTTTTTTCTTTTTTTTGAACACGTATATGATATTCTTATTGGTTAAGAATTGTCTATCTAGATTCAAGCCTAGAAAGTACGACTCTTCATCTCAAAGGCAACACCCAAACCGTGTTTTATTCGTGTTATCAACTCTTACATAGTTAGTATAAATTAATAATCAAAGTCAAGCGCAAACCACATAGAAAGACCATTCTCGAATCATCCGCCAAACTAAAGATAATTTTCAACCATGACAGGATCCCAAGAAGAGACTCACAAGCCTCAAATCGTTGATCAAGACCATCCCAAACCACTACAAACAGAAGACCCACAACATCAACAGCCTTCTTCTTCTTCGTCGTCTCCGGATCAGAAGAAATGGGGAACTCACGTGATGGGAGCTCCAGCAGCTCCAGTGGCTCATCCCGATAACCAGCAGGCTGCAGCTTGGGTCGCTGGTGATAACCGGCAGATGCCGTACCAACCTTACATCGTTTACTCTCCTGTTGAACATCCTCCTTCTAATAACCCTATCGAGCCCGTCATCGGAATGTTCCATACTTGGAGCAGGAAGGCTGAAACCGTAGCTCGTAACATCTGGCACAATCGTAAGTCTCCTTCTACATAACCCTTTTTTTTTTGTTTCAGTTCTAACAATTTTGGAATCTGGAAGTGAATTAAATTTGTATGCACAAGTGAAAAATATCACATTAACCAAGGAGGACGGTCCAATAATTTTGAGGGAGTTACAGCATCAATACAGATTCGAATCTTGCTGGGCACTAGAAATAAAATTTAACATCTGGATTCCCTAGTATCCGGTGACCAAGGTGTAAGTTGATAATGTAAACTGTTACGGACAGTTGCCGCTAGTGTACATTCATTTTAGTGGGATTAGGATACACCGGATTATTAAAAAACAAAAACAAAGGAAAAATGTCACATTATCAATATACAAGCTCTAAAAAATCCTTACATTAATTGAATTTTATTCTATTAAATTTATTTGATTTTTTCGAGGTTACTTTGAGTTTGTTAAAGACAGCTTCCAAAGCAGCTTTGACCGATCTTGATGAGTTTTGTCGGATCTTGTTTGTTTGTGCAGTGAAGACGGGACCGTCTATGCAGGAAACGGCGTGGGGGAAGGTTAACCTAACGGCGAAAGCGATAACAAAGGGAGGTTTCGAGTCTCTCTTCAGACAGATATTTGGAACGGATCCGTACGAGAAGTTGAAGAAGACTTTTGCATGTTATCTCTCCACGACGACAGGACCTGTCGCTGGAACTCTTTATCTTTCGAATGTTCGCGTTGCTTTCTGTAGTGACCGTCCTCTCTTCTTTACAGCCCCTTCCGGACAAGAAGCTTGGAGTTACTACAGGGTAAGTTAGTCATGTCATTTTTTGTATAAAATAAAATCGGGAGATTGTGGGATGAGTTTTAAGTAAAATGTTGTTTGATGGGTTTTTTGGGCAGGTTGTGGTACCGTTGGTGAATGTTGCGACGGTTAATCCGGTGGTGGTGAAGGAGGATCCACCGGAGAAATATATTCAAGTGACGACGGTGGATGGACATGACTTCTGGTTCATGGGTTTTGTGAATTACGAGAAGGCTTCTCATCATCTGCTGACTAGTGTCTCGGATTATCATACCGCTCTTAGCTCTGCGTCTGGTTAGAGAAGTATATATGTTTGTGTATTCTTAAATTTCTTTTTGCTTTTTTGTATGTGTGTGGTTGGACTATGCTGCCGGTTATTTTTCTATATGTTCATGTAGATTTTATCAAAGGCCGACTTTTTATAAAATCAGTTTTAAAATTTACTTTTGAAAACTTTCATTTCTGAATCTTTTTAAAAAATATCATGAATCCTTCCGAAAAATATTTTGAATCTTTTAAAAATCAATTCAGAACTTTTCAACAATGTTTATAATCCGTTCATAAAATATTTTCTCATAAATAGTGGTATATCAATTCATAACATATTGATCAGAATATCAAGAGCTGATAATAAGTAGCTAAATTAGTTTAAACTTAATTTTAGAATTTACTTTTTAAATCTTTCCCAAAAATATTATAGTTGTCTCCGAACCATTCAAAACAATATTTTTAACCTTTCAAAAAATATTATTAACTTTCCAGAAAATTAATTTTAAATCATTCGGAAAATAATTTTGAGACCTTAAGAAATTAGTTTCAAAAAATATGGTGTTTTTTTTTCTGAAATCTTCAGAAAAATATTCTGAACCATTCAAAAAAATATTTTACAACTCTTCAGAAAAATATTTTGGTACCCTTCAGAAAAATATTCTAACCCATCATAAATAAGTTCTAAACCCTTCAAAAAATGTTTCTGATTCAAAAACTAATTTTGAATCTTACAGAAAATGCATTTAAGTTTCAAGAGAAAAACCATGGCGAATAACAGTATATCAATTTATGACATAACTAGCATAATTAATTTTTTAACACCCTTCCAAAGAATATTGTACTTGTTTCTGAAACATTCATAAAAGTATTTTGAACCCTTCAAAAAAAATATTTTTAACCGATCAGAAAAATAATTCTCAGTCTTTTAGAAAATATTCGTAAGCCGTCACAAAAAAAAAACCTTAATCATTCAGAAATCATAAACCCTTCAAAAACTATTTTGAATTCGTCATAAATCAATTCTAAACCCCTTCAGAAAATCAAATTTTAACCATTTAGAAAACAATTCTGAACCTTTAGCCAATTAGAACCCTTCAAAAAAATGTTTCTGGCCCCTTCAAAAAATAAATTTGAAATTTTCAGAAAATGTTTCAACCATGACTCAAGAATATTAATAAATAACGCAATTCATGACAATTGTTTAAAATATTGAGAATCGTGCAACTAAAAGGTTAATCTAGAAATATTCTCACACCTTCAAATAAATGTTCTTAATCCATCAAAAAATTAATTCTGAATCCTTCAGAAATTTAATTCTGAATCCTTCAGAAAATTATTTTTAATTTGTCAGAAACATATTCTTAACCCTTCAGGAAAATATTCTTAACCTGTCAGTAATAAATTCTGAACTTGTAAGAATACGCTTCTGAATCCGTCATAATTCACTTCTGAACTCTTCCGAAAAATGTTTTGAACCCTTCAAAAAATATTCCTAACCCGTCAGAATTCAGTTGTTAACCCATAAAAAAATATTCAGAACTTTTCGGAAAATGTTTCTAAATCCTTCAAAATCAATTATGAACCCTTAAGAAAATGTTTCTCAGCCCTTCGAAAAATAATTTTGAACCCTTCAGAAAATACTTGTAGTTGTTTCCGAACCCTTTCAGCAAAATATTTTTAACTTTTCAAAGAAATTATTTTTAATTATCACAAATAAATTGTGAATTTGTCAGAAATATCCACATCAACGTCACAGAAAAATTCTAATGGGACATATGTGAATTTTCATATTTAGTTCATCAAATAACTCACTAATTAAGTCCACAGTAGACTGATATTTCTTTCGGTTTTCTTTTTCTTTTTGTCTTCATAACTCAGTTCTGAACCTTTTAGAAAATGTTTGTAGTTATTTCTGAACCCTTCCAAAAAATATTCACTTCAGAAAAATATTTTAAATCACTTAGAAATAAACTCTAAACCTGTCAAAAATATCCACATCGGCGTCACTTCAAAATTCTAAAGAGACAAATGTGAATTTTCATATACAGTTTATTAAATAATTCATTGATTATGTTCATAGTAGGCTAATATTTCTTTTTTTTGTATTCAAAAATTGATTTTGAACTTTTCAGAAACCAATTATGAATCCTTCATAAACCAATTCTAAATCTTTCAGAAACCAATTATGGCCCCTTCATAAAATATTTTTGATCTCTTCAGAAAATAATTATGAACCCTCCATAAAATGTTTCATATCCATAGTAGACTAATATTTTTTTTGTCAACAATGATTAGATAACGCTTGAAACATAATACAACATCATCGAACGAGAGGGAAAACCTGCCATTCAAACAAGTTGATGAAATCATGAACTATTCATAACATGTTTATGAACCATTCAAAATTATGAAGGTTGTGAAAAGAATGACCAGGGGTTTAAAATTGATTTATGAAAATAACAACTATTATTAGGATTAAGATGATGAGGGGATCAACAGATGTTGGAGTGTAAGATTTCAAAAATCTTTCAGAAAACAATTTTGAACCCTTCTAAAATCAATTCTCAACTCTTAAGAAATCAAATCTACACTTATAAAAATCAATTCTGCACCTTTCAGAATCAATATTTATTGGGTACTCCTTGTAAAATGTTGAAAATCTCTTGTAAAGTTTTTCTTTAATATTTTGTATAATTTTTTTTTGGGAATTAAAAACTCAAATCTATTTTTAGTGTAAAAACATTCATTAATCATTTGTGAAACCATTGGATCAAATGGAATTCCACAAAAAAATTATAAAATGACTAAAAAAGGTTTTATTGTTTATTGACAAACAAAGGATTTTGTTTCTATAATTTTTCCTGATGAGTTAATAGACCAAAAGAAGGGGAGGTTGAAATATTGAAGGTGGATAAGAGGGTCTACTGGTCTAGTTAGTTAGCTTAAAAAGGATATCAATGCAAGTCTCCAGCACAAATAGAACGTGAGATGATGAAATAATTATCCAATTCAAGGAAAAGTTTTTTTTGAACACCCAATTAATTCACTTAATCACGAGAGAGTCAAATCAGAATATGAGGAAATGAGAAAGAGCGACAAAAATCCTAAAGACTTATGTAGAAGTGCACCTTGCTTAGTGATGTCTTGACTTTAATTACATCTAACTAGGTGTTTTGCCCGCACATGCGGGCATAATTTTCGTACAATTTATTATTAGTCTATATTTTATTAATTCAAACCAATATAATAAGTTATGATTTATGTTTTAAAATTAATTATAAATGAAAACGCTCACATAACAAAATATTTTTACAAATATGTTTCTTTAATTTATTTTAATTATATTTGTTTCTATCTTAATTTTTTATTTCTATTATAAAAAATATATTTTCAAGATAACAATATAATACATAAGAAGTATCTTATTTTCTGAAAATATAATTTTTAATAAAAATTCGTTTTATTTTATAATAAATATATGAAATTATTAAAAATATGACAAATAATCTAAATTATCTAAATCATGGAGAAATTACAAATTAGATAATTCACTTAAATTTTCTAATAGAAAATATATGTTTAAGATAACAATCTAATATTTAAGAATTATCTTTTTAAAAAAAAAAATCTAGTATTATTATATATATTCGTTTTATTATTTAATAAATTGTATATGAAATTATTAAAATATGATAAATAAGCAAAGTATAAAACCATGGAGAAGTTGATAAATCAGCATTGCTTTCTTTATATTTAGCTATTAATATTGTAACTTAATTTTTAATTTCTATGATAAAAATATATATTTTAAAGATAGCAATATAATACATAAGAATTATCTTATTTTAAAAGTATAATATTATTAATAGAAATTCGTTTTTATTAAATAATAAATTGTATATGAAATTATTTAAATAAGATAAATAAACAAATTTAGCTAAAATCAAGGAGAACATGACAACTAAGCAAATTTACTTCTTAAATAATAGTATAGATTCAACACGTGAAACACATGCACTTGACTCTTTCTCTTTCATTTTTTCTTAGCTCTTTGTATTTGTCTGCACAAGTAGGCCAAACTCCACTAATTGTTGTTAGTCTTGTTTTTCTTCAGTTCCTTATGATGAAAAAAAAGAGAGGCTTTGACAAAATACTTACTTTCTTATTTACTGAACATAAACGATTACAGAGTTTTTAGATAGACTCAATATAACAATTTAGAGACTATTACCCATCTTTTTTTTTTTTGTCAATTTGGTCACTTTTGGACCTTTAATCCTCAAACGGAGGTAAGGAGGGGTCGAACCCCTAACGTCATGGCCCGAAGGCAGAGCTCAGTTGCCACATGGCTACGAACAACCCGACAGAGACTATTACCCATCTAATTATATAATTTTATTATGATAGTTGAGATCATTTAATATACTAGCGGATAGAAGGGGAGAAAACAGTTGTTTTTCAGAATTTTCTCGTTCCTTGCTGTACATTTTGATTTTCTTCTCTGTTTTGGACGCATGAATGTTCCTTGGACTATAGCTTGTTCACCATTGGATTTCCTCCTTCATGGGTTTCAGAATGTGTTGTGTCGAGGTCCAATGTTGTGTTGTCTCTAATACTCCTAAAATTTGGAATGGATTTTGTCTACACCAAGGTTGATTCTCTACTTAAGAAATTGTTTTTGTGGCATAGATTTTGTGAAAATATATGTTTGTTGTTTGTCTTGTGGCCGGAACATGTTTTGTCTCTATCAAACCAAGTGCAACTTGTTCACAGATATAGTGATAGACTATATCAAAATTCTTTGATCTGTTGTGAAGAGTTGGGTTGGTATCCAGATATACATGAGCTGATAGATTATAACAGAGCAAGAGAGCAAAAGTTGGCTGAGAAATGCCAAGATCTCTTAGTAGACATGATATCTAGACTATTTCCTGAGCTGTCGTTCCTAAAGCTCTATACTCAACCTCTATAGATGACTTGGAAACAGTAGATTGTCTTTTAGACTATGAAATCAAGTTAGGACCAAGAAGCGTACAAAAGCTTATTGTTGATCACGCAAAGAGAGTTAAGCAATCATCCTTCCTGAGCTAAAAACCAAGTTCTAAAATTCCTTTCAAATATCCCAGTATGCATTTTAGGAGACAAAAAAACATGATACCGTAAGTTGATGCATTCTCTTGCATACATAGTTTAATGCATATTGGATATCGGGTATTGTAAAGTATTGAAGCTTACCCTGTTAAGTTGTGATGCTCAATACGTTGAGGTAGATAAAAACGTATGAGGGCCTGACGGGACCTTGCGTTATTTCCCGGTAAGGGTTAAAATATCTTAATGTAATTAACATGTGTTTTTATCATTAATTATTAGTTAAGTGGAGGTTGGGAGTAACGCAAAAATAAATCAAAATAAAATAAAATAAAGAAAGAAGAAGGCATGAACCACGTGCGCTATATCAGACTATACACATTATTAAATTCCTTTAAAGTTCACATGAAATATCCTTTTTATCATTACTTCATCTCGCGCCTGTTTAATCTCAAAACCCATCTGTCTCCTTCATCTCCCTCTCTCTCTTTCTTGAATCTTGATCTCTTTGCTTCAGCAAGAAAACAGAAGAAAATGTCTAAAGTTACCACAGAGCTTGACTTCTTCGGTCTTGAGAAGAATCAGACCAACAACACTCCAAAACCCAAGTTCAAGAAATTTCTCGACCGTCGTCGCAGCTTCCGAGGTTTTGTTTTATCTTTATTCTTCTTGATTTCTCTTATCCTTTAACGATTTGGTTTTAACTTTCAATACAGAAATGCAAGGTGCGATTTCAAAGATAGATCCTGAGATTATCAAATCACTGTTAGCTTCTGGTGCTAACGGTTCGGACTCATCCACCAGATCGCTTTCAGTTCCATCTACTCCCAAGGAGGATCATCCTCATATCATGTCTTCTCCAGTCCACGCGCCTCTTTCCAGGTTTTTATTTAAAATATATATATATATATATATATTTTGCCATTTTGGCGCAACCAAAGAATAAAACAGAATAATATTTGATATTTTTGTTTTCAATAAAATATTTCCTCAGGCCAAGTGTGGAACCTGTCTCTGGAACTGTTCCCATGACAATCTTCTACAATGGAACCGTCTCCGTTTTCCAAGTGTCTCCTAACAAGGCTGAGGATATAATAAAGGTGGCCATGGAAACTTCACCAAAGAATGGCAAATCTATGGAGAAAAATATTTCGGTAATTCATCCAACTACCCTAAGGTCAAAGCTATTTGACAAGAATCTAGAAGGAGGTTAGTAACAAATTAATAGTGAGTCACCTAGTGTTTGATTCTTTATAAGTATGTTAGTTTGTGCATGTAATTTTTAAAAGGGTTTGCTGTTAGCAACGTGAACATCTGTATATAAAACTGACTTGAACCATGGACCGGACCTATTTTTTTTTTGATAAACTTTGAATTCATTAACTGGTTATGAATTAGAAGTTGAAAGTGTGAACTTTGTTGTGTGTGTGTGTGTGTGCAGATCTTCCCATCGCAAGAAGAAAGTCACTACAAAGGTTTCTTGAGAAGCGCAAGGAGAGGTAATTGCTCTCCGACCAGCCAAGGATTAACCCCAAAACAATTAAACTAGAAGGTTTCTTTTTCTTTCTCTGCGTCGACTTTTTTCATTTTTATATGAATATATTAGTAATTATAATGAGTCGTGCCTATTTTACTTGGTACACAACTTTTAGATATGCATGTGGTTGTTCAACGTAACACATGCTTCTACTTACACATTGTCGACTATACGTATATATTAAAAAAGCTTAGGCTATTGTGGAACTTCAAAAACGTGTTGACTTTAGATCTCTCTTTTTGTTTACTTCCGACAAGTGATATTTTCCCAAATTATTCGATTTATAAATAATGATGAGAAACACCGAAAGAAAATTGAACATTTGTTTGTATTATTCGTCGTACCATGCGGCCAAGAAAGATTGACGTGTTCTAAATAAGTTACTGTTGCTATAAAAACGTGTACTCACACTTTTATTTTCCTTTTTGGTTGCTTGTGTTTGCAGGTTAGCATCAACATGTCCTTACTTTCCGACATCAGCCTAAAACGAAACTCTCATCTCTTTCTTTTTTGATTAAGACTTGAAACCAAATCAGTTCATCTTGCATTTGGCTTCTCCCAAATCTTTTAGGATCACGACATGCTTTAGTATACGACGTTTCTTTTTTAAGAATATACTTAAACACTCTGCGGTATTATATATGAATTTATGTTTCATATGTTTTGTTATTACTAGTACTAGGAAACCACCCCGCGCGTAAACGCGCGGGAGAAAAGATGTTTTTTTTTAAAAAGTAATTTTTATATAATTTATATTTGTTAGTCAATCATTTTGAATCATTTAATACACCAATTATTTTGTACGAAGATTAATACTTAAAAAATAATCTTATATAATAGAAGAGTGAAAATATAATTTGTGTTTGAAAATGTATAAATTTAAATGTTATGTGTTTAGTATAGTAATATTAAGTAAACTTTAATATTAAAGTCGCAGTCATTTTCTTTTATCTTTTTATATATGAGAAGACAAACTTTTAAAATTTGTTGAAATGATGGAACAGTTTAAATCTTTTAATTAAATAATATAATATGTTTTAAAAAACTGTAATTATCATGCAAAGAACGACATTTTTAAATCTATGAGGCTTAGTACCTCCATACAAACTGGGTTAGAAATACAAAAAAAAATGGACTTTATCAGAAGTAGAATAAAAGATTACAAAAAAAAATTTAGGTTATTTTCTTACAGTCAGATTGGTTTGGATATGGTAGTTTAGTTTCACTGAAACTAAATCTATTAATTTATTTTTGCAGACACCACATTAAACTTTTAAAGATCGTTTAAAACTATATAATGAATCAAACATTATATTCAAGAGTACTAAGAATCATACCTATATTAGAAAAAAAACACATAAATTTTCTTAAAAAATTGCATGCGTAAAACGTTCTATTTATAGTAATCTGAAAAGGTACATTGATAGATTATCAAGAGTTGTGTTTTGTTTTAAAATGAATATTTTCAAGAGTTGCGACGAAAAAAAAGTTCAACCAAATACATTTTCAGGACCATTAGATAGAACCATAATAATTACAACCACGAGACTGAAACTCTTCAAAAAAAATTTAAAAAATCAAAAATTGGGAAAAGTATGACTCTTCAAATTAAAGAGATGTGTTGTTTGAAAAAAAAAAACTGCTCATAGCAATTTTAGTTTAAGTATAAAAAAATTATTAAGACCAAGAAGAAAAAAAACAATTATAACCAAAGATTGTAATCCTTAAAATATGAAAAAGTATGACTCTTTCATGTAAAAAGATGTGTTGTTTGAAAAGAATATATTTTAATGCCATAAATATAGTATGTCTAAAAACATTTCTTAGGACAATTGCATGAAAAACAAAACAATGGTTGAAAAATTGTATCTTTTCATAATAAACTGAAATATATTAGTTTAAAAGTTGCATCTTTCATTATAAAAAAAATTGTGTATTTTCAAAAAAAAAATTGTTGAAAGGTTGTATCTTTTCATAAGAACCGAATTATATTAGTTTAAAAGTTGCATCTTTTCATTATTAAACAAAGTTTATGTTTCAGATAAAATAGTTTACAAGTATTTAAAAGAGAGTATAAGAATTGTGTCTTCTCAAAATAACAATTGTTGAAAGGTTGTATCTTTTCATAAAAAAAAACTTAAATATATTAGTTTAAACATTGCATCTTTTCATTATAAAAAATAATTTTGTATTTAAAAAAAATCTATTATTTTAAAAGTTGCATAAATGTTTTATTTGGACCATTATATGTAAAACAAAACAATTGTTGAAAGCTTGTATCTTTTCATAAGAACTGAAATGTATTAGTTTAAAATTTGCATCTTTTCATTATAAAAACAATTGTGTCTCAGAAAAAATAATTTAAAAATATTTAAAATAGTTATAAGAGTTGCGTCTTCTCATAATAAAAATCTACTAATTAAACAATCTTGATTAATTTTAAAGACTGTGAATGCCGAATAAAAAGAAAATTGAGACTCTTTATAAAAATGTTTATAAGTGTGAAAGGTTGAAAATACAAAATAAAATGAAAAGTTGTGTCTATTTAAAGAACTGAAATAGAATAGTTTTAAAGATTGTGTATGTTTTCATAAGAACTAAAATATATAAGTTTAAAAGTTGCATCTTTTTATTATAAATAGAATAGTGTTTTTTTATAAAATAATTTCTATTATTTTTAAAATTGCATCTTTTTCAATATAAAAAAAGTTTGTGTCTCATAAAAACTAGTTTAAAAGTATTTAAAAGAGGCTGTAAGAATTGTGTCTTCTCATAATAAAATTTTTTGAAAGGTTATATCTCTTCATAAAAAATGAAATATATTAGTATAAAAGTTGCATCTTTTCATTATAAAAACAATTGTGTCTCAGAAAAAATAATTTAAAATATTTAAAATAGTTATAAGAGTTGTGTCTTCTCATAATAAAAATCTACTAATTATTACAATCTTGATTAATTTAAAAGTCTGTGAATGCCAAATAAAAAAAAATATTGAGACTCTTAATAAAAATGTCTATTAGTGTGAAAGGTTGAAAATACAAAATAAAATGAAAAGTTGTGTCTCTTTAAAGAAATAACTGAAAGATTGTGTCTCTTAATAAATAAAATGAGAGGTTGTCACTTAATAAAAATCTCAACTAATTCTAAAGGTTGTGAATGTCAAATAAAATAAAAATTGTGTATCTTAATNCTCTTAATAAAAATGTCTATTAGTGTGAAAGGTTGAAAATACAAAATAAAATGAAAAGTTGTGTCTCTTTAAAGAAATAACTGAAAGATTGTGTCTCTTAATAAATAAAATGAGAGGTTGTCACTTAATAAAAATCTCAACTAATTCTAAAGGTTGTGAATGTCAAATAAAATAAAAATTGTGTATCTTAATAAAAAATCCCAATTAATTCTAAAAGTTATGAATGTCAATCAAGATGAAATGTTGTGACTCTTAATAAAAATATCAATTAATGTGAAATGTTGTAAATGTAAAATAAAATGAAAGTTATTTCTCTTAATAAATAAAATGAAAGGTTGTGTCTCTTAATAAAATAAAATGAAAAGTTGTGTCTCTTAATAAATAAAATGAAAGATTGTGTGTCTTAATAAAAATACCAATTAATTCTAAAGTTGTGTATCTTAATAAAAATCTCAATTAATTCCAGAGGTTGTGAATGCCAAATAACATGAAAAGTTGTAATTCTTAATAAAAACGCCTATTAATGTGAAATATTGTAAAGGCAAAATAAAATGGAAAGTTGTGTCTCTTTAAAAAAAAAGAAGGAAAAATTGTGTTTCTTAATAAATAAAATGAAAGGTTGTGTATCTTAACAAAAATCTCAATTAATTCTAAAGATTGTGATGCCAAATAAAATAAAAAGTTGTGTATCTTAATAAAAATCACAATTAAAGTGAAAGGTTGCGAATGCCAATAAAATGAAATGTGGAGTATTTTTGAAAAATATATTTTATGATTTGTTATATACCCTTAAAAGTGTCTTTTAAGGAAACAAATAAATAATTAACCTTCTCTGATTATTTTTATATTTAATTTTAAAAATGGTTTGCATTTAAATTTGGCATACAAACTTTTTTTTTTGGTAAAAGGCATACAAACTTTATAAAGTAGTTCCATAATTTGTTTAACACGATACACCTTGGATTGTATATTCATTTCTATAGGTGTGTAGTATTTACCATCAAGAGTCATGTCTTTCCATTTTTCAAAAAAAACAAAAATTGTTGTTAGTGTTTATGTGCTTTCATTACCATACATATGAATGTATATATTTTTATACTTATTACAAGGTACAATAGAAATTTAAGACTGTTTCATATACACTTCTTTTTGAGCCATCGATCCATATCATGGATCATAGTCCATAGCACCCGACCATGAACAGTATGTTTACCACTCATGATGGCTCGGCCTTAGCTCTAATGCCTTGCATCCATAAGTATCAATGATATTACGTTCGTTCACTTTTGGTAACATTATGTTCGCACCCTTTCGGTGATGTTATATTCACACCTTTTTGATGATGTTACATTCTCACCATTTTGGTGATGTTACATTCGCACCCTTTCGGTGACGTTCCATTTGCACCCTTTCGGTGACGTTACATTCACACCTTTTCGATCCCGAACCACTCGCACCCTTTCGGTGCCGAACCATTCGCACCCTTTCGGTGCCGAACCGTTCGCACGCTTTCGGTGCCAAACCGTTCGCACCCTTTCGGTGCCGAACCGTTCGCACCCTTTCGGTGCCGAGCCGTTCGCACCCTTTCGGTGCCGAGCCGTTCGCACCCTTTCGGTGCCGAACCGTTCGCACCCTTTCGGTGCCGAACCGTTCGCACCCTTTCGGTGCCGAACCGTTCGCACCCTTTCGGTGCCGAACCGTTCGCACCCTTTCGGTCCCGAACCGTTCTCACCCTTTCGGTCCCGAACCGTTCGCACCCTTCCGGTCCCGAACCGTTCGCACCCTTCCGGTCCCGAACCGTTCGCACCCTTCCGGTCCCGAACCGTTCGCACCCTTCCGGTCCCGAACCGTTCGCACCCTTTCGGTGCCGAACCGTTCGCACCCTTTCGGTCCCGAACCGTTCGCACCCTTCCGGTCCCGAACCGTTCGCACCCTTCTGGTCCCGAACCGTTCGCACCCTTTCGGTCCCGAACCGTTCGCACCCTTTCGGTCCCGAACCGTTCGCACCCTTTCGGTCCCGATCCGTTCGCACCCTTTCGATCCCGAACCGTTCGCACCCTTTCGGTCCCGAACCGTTCGCACCCTTTCGGTCCCGATCCGTTCGCACCCTTTCGATCCCGAACCGTTCGCACCCTTTCGGTCCTGAACCGTTCGCACCCTTTCGATCCTGAACTGTTCGCACCCTTTCGGTTCTGAACCGTTCGCACCCTTTCGGTCCCGAACCGTTCGCACCCTTTCGGTCCTGACACGTTCGCAACCATTCGGTACCAACATGCTCACACCCTTTCGGAACCGATACGTTCGCACCCTTTCAGAACCGACACGTTCGCACCCTTTCGGTCCCGACACGTTCGCACCCTTTCGGTACCGACATGTTCGCTCCTTTTCGGTACCGACACGTTCGCACCCTTTCGGTACCGACACGTTCGCACTCTTTTGGTCCCGATACATTCGCACCCTTTCGGTCCCGTCACGTTTGCACTATTTCGGTTTCGATACGTTCGCACCTC